ATTGTACTTTTTTTTAATGTTGTAAGCTGCCTTGTGTCCCATTCTTGGGAGAAGGGTGGGATATAATAATAATAATAATAATAATAATAATAATAATAATAATAATAATAATAATTACAACTTAATTTCAAACTCTAGGACAGAGATGGGCTCAGTGTTGCCCTCCAGATGTTGTTGGATTACAACTCCCAGAATTCTTCCCATTGTCAATGCTGGCAATAGTCTAGTAACATCTAAAGTTTGCCCTTACCTGTTATAAAAATAATGGTAGTCCCTTGACATGAATGTCTAGTTGTAACTGACTGTAGGGGCACTGCTCCTTTCCGTTACTAAGCCAAAGAGCCAGTGTTGTCAGAGACCATTCTGTGATCATGTGGCCAGCATGATTGCACAGAACACTGTTGACCTTTCCACTAAGAAATGGTACCTATTTATCTACTTGCATTTGCATGCTTTCGAACTGCTTGCTTTGCAGAAGCTGGGACTAGTGACAGGAGTTCATACCATCATGCAGCACTCAGGACTCAAACTGCCAAATTTCTGATCTTCCAATAATCAGAATTGGTGTCTTAACTACTAAGCCACTGCATCCCTATACCGCATACCTGTTATAAAAGTATCCAAAGATACATGAAACAATGAGGTCTATATCCTTCCATGAAATGCAAGATGTTTTAGAGTTTCAAGAATTAGGAGGAGATTCACCACTTCACTAAGAAAATTCACTAGTTATTGTCCATTATAGATGGTATCACTTTCCTAGACACCAAAAGACATGAGTTTTTATTGTCTCCAAGATAGAAGAAATGAGAGATTTGACTAGCAAATCATTCCAAGTAGTGAAAAGGATGCTATTCCTTCTTTGAAGAAAAGCTTGTGTGACTTGTTTTTCCCCTCTGCTGGATAATATTTAATGTCATTTTTATCATCATAGCTTTTAAAAATGGTTTTGTTTTCATATCCTTGTAGGCTGTTTTTCTGGGTGGGGAAGGGGGGGTGATGGCCAGAAATTATGGTATAAGTGTGATGAATTAATAACAACAAATACCAACAAATAGCTATTGAGTCCCTTCTCACAGAGTGTCCCAATGCTAGCTATTCAGGTATTTTGACAAATATTTGCCCTTTTGCTTGTTTGTTTTCATTAGATGACATTAACAGCACTCCAGTATAAGTCTAATTGAGAAATGAGTTCCTTTGTCTCTAGTAAAACTTACACTTGACTTTATATAAAAATGCAACATAATAACAGTGATTTGAGGTACCACTTAATTAATACAAGAAAGCTGTCTGTATATTAATATTTGACAATTTGATTTTCTTGAAGTTCTAACTTATCATATGACCCCTGTTCAGTAAACATTTTTGAGGTTTCCTGCGAGGTTTTTATGTGTATATCCTGTGCCCTTTATTATGAGTGTTCCTGGCATGCGGTAATACTTAGACTTGTAATATCCTTGAACATTTAAAAGGTTTCAGAAGCATACCCTTTTACAGTATCTGGAAGCTCAATAATTTCCCCACATCTATAGTACCTGTCTCTTTTTCTCTGCCATGGTAGATTACTTGATGATGTAACTGATTGATGCCAGTTATTACTCTTTTATTTCAGATAATCACGTTCTGATTTTATTGGAATCTAGTCTCAGTGGGATGTACAATAGGTTTTTTTTAATCAATGATCACAGATACCAAAAAGCTGTATTGTATCTATATAGGATACTGACAGAAATGTTCAAGAAGTAGTTGTAGTGATTTAAATGTATAAAATTATAAAGCACAGAGCCTGTGTAGCGTAGCAGTTTGAATGTTGGACTATGATACCTGGGACCAAGGTTCATTTCCCAACTTGGCCATGAACCCACTGGGTAACCTTTGCAAGTCATATGCTCTCTGCCTCAGGGGAAGGCAATGGCAAATCTCCTCTGAACAAATCTTGCGAAGAAAAACCTGTGATAGGTTCATCTTAGGGTCGCCATAAGTCAGAAATGAATTGAAGCCTCACAACAACAACAACCAGATATTTCAGATTTCCCCACTCATGATACATACAGTTAATGATATTCCTAATTACTGATATTTAAAATTGAACTTTCTACTTTGTATATGTAAGTAATGACCCCGATTTGCCAGAATAAGTTCTGGACTCTTGGCACCTGAGCATAGAGACTGGTGCAACTACACAGTTCCATTCAAGTTGGGAAGGAATGCTTGGGCAACTCCCAGTAGGTTGGTTCTATGTTGTGTTCTGCTCCAATTTAAGTTGCTTAATTTCTGGCCTCTAATGCAGTACAGTGGGCCCTTCTTAGTTGTGGGGGTATAGCTCCAGGCCTCCCTGCAGATGATGAAAATGTGGGAGCGAATGCCTATATTAGTCAACGGACAGTGATGTGCATGCACCTGTTTCTGCTTACCTATTGGCACATGCCACTATTAATTAATATTGGGTTGGCCATCTGTGGAAGCTCCAGTCTACAGATAGCTAGCCTGTTGATATGGTGGACCCACTGTACTATTACTTTTTCAATAGGGTTCTGAGGTGGCATTGAGCAAAAGCACAAAACACCCAACACTTTCTGTAGGGAATTCATGCAGTGGTGTTATGCCCAAGTGGAATTCCAGCAGGAGGACTGGGTGTGTTGGTTTCTGTATCTTGCATGCAGGCTGAGGAATTGGTACCCATAGGTCTGCAGCAAGTTGACAGATGCCTGAATCTGGAGCTATGCTGGGGTCAAGACTCTACATCTGCAACCAATAAAAGCTGTGTACTGTTTTATTGCAACAAATGCAGTTTGTGTCGTCATTGTTAAGTGGAGTCTTGATCACTGGTGAACCTGCAGTAAATAATATTTCCCTTATATGTTGGAATTTAGGTGAAACACTATGTTAAAAAGTCAATTGAAGTCTAATACAGTTGTCCCTCCCTGTTCATGGACTTCAAGTCTGCAGTCTCAGTCCTTTGCAGACTGACAAGCAGGGAGGGATAAAATGGGGCTTGAATATTTGCATTTGTTTGTTTTCGCAGGGGTGGGGTCCGGAACAGATCCCCCATGAAAATGGAGGGGTGACTGTAGACAGTACTAGCTAGTGGCCATTACCTTTCCTCTTCAGGTAGACAAAAGATCCTCTTTCTTGAAAGATCCTCTTTCTTGGATAGTAGATATGAGATATTTGCCAAAGCAAACAGAAAAACAAATGTAGCTGTATGAACAAAATAACTTGAAAATTCCTAGATGGGTAATGCCCTTATTGTATTTAGGATCAATCACAGTTCTACAATAGATTCCAAACCTTCAAGTATCCAGAATATTTCAGCAATCCAAGTGGAAAAAAATGAAGAATAGGAGAAGCATGAAAGTCAAGAAATCAAATTAATAATGGAGTGTCAATGCTTCAAGTTTCTAGTACGCAGAGACATGTGCATTACTTAAAATTGGAGTCTTATTGTTGCCTTGTGAAAAAAGTGGTTCTGTGCTAGAAATATTTGTGTGTGTGTATTTTATACATTTATATGTATATGATGTTTAATTATGTAAAGAGAAATATAATTATTTAAATTTAATGTATATAATTGTGTAAATATAAATATAGATAGGCAGATAGTCAAGAATAAATGCAAGCTCTATCAAGTTTTTTTGTTCCTTGTACCATAGTATATATGCGGATCAATAGTATTATATGTATTACTAGGTTTTGCAGCTAATTTTTGCTGTATTGCTACCTTAAGAGAGGTGGGGGCAGGGACAGAGAGAGAGAGAAAAAAATTGCTGTTCTTAGAAAACCAAGTGCAGTCGCTTCCCTCCCAGCATCTATTTTTTTCACCAAACTTCAAGTGCATTTTGGGATTTTTAAAAGGGCTAATGCATCTTACAGTGGGTTTTCTGGCAGAGGTCCCTGGACTTCCAGAGTTTGCCCACTTCGATCGTGGTTAGGACAGTTATCACATTTTAAAATGACAGATGGAATTTAGCTATATTCTATTAATTTGGGATATTTACTTTGCAGACAATTTTTTCCACATGCTGAATCTTGTTCTTTTTAAAAAGTCTGCCCTACTATGTACAGACATTGCTTTGAATGATACAACTAATTTTGAAAAAGAAGCATATAGAAATCTTAATGACAAAAATTATCATAAAGTTGGGTTCACACATGGTGGTACTTTCTTGGACATTCTGCTATAGACATATTCAGTTCATACTTGCATAAGTGGAATTTTATAAGTATACCAAAATATTTTAGACTTTTCAATGAATAAAGAGGCAGAATAGTTAAAATTTATACTGTCTAAGAAAAAGTACAGATTGGAATAGACTCCATTGATATGGCAGTTCCATACACAAACAATACTAAAGAACATATTATTTCTGGAGAAATAATTTCAATAAAACAAATGGAAAAGTGATTCAAACTACAGAATAGCATCTATATCAAATCTGTAAATGAGATAGATAAATGGTTGCAGAAGACTACAAAGAGGTAGATAGTGCGAGCAGAAGATCTTCTGTAGAGCAGAATATCTTCAATAATAAGTGTTTTTTTTTTAAGAGATCCATCAAAAAATATAGACATTTGATCAAATTTAGTGCTGTGCAATAAAAAAATGCACAATTCATTAAAAAAAAGACCCCATGATAAGGTTGCCTTAGGGTTACCATAAGTCGGAAAGGACTTAAAGAAACACAAGAACAACAAAGAAGTCTGCAGTTGTTTCATAGGTAGTACATGGGAATAGCCAGCGTAGTGAGTGGTTTGAATGTTGGACTATGACTCTGGGGACCTGGGTTTGATTCCCTGCTCTGCCATGAAACCCATTGGGTGAATTTGGACAAGTCACACTCTCTCAGCCTCGGGAAGGCAATGGCAAACCTCATCTGAACCAATCTTGCCAAGAAAAACCCAGGATAGGGTCACCTTAGGGTTGCCATAAGTAGGTAATGACTTGAAGCCACACCAGAAAAAAACAACAAAGCCTCAAGAAGGAGCATTGATAGTCCAATGCTCAAGTGGTGTAGTGGCTTGATCATTGGACTATCACCCCAGAGACCTGGGTTTGAATCCCCGCTTGGCCACGGAAACCCACTGAGTGATCTTAGGCAAGTCACATTCTCTCATCCTCAGAGGGAGACACTGGCAAAACCACTTCTGAATAAATCTTGGCAAGAAAACCCGGTGGCAAGCTTCCCTTAGGGTTGCCACAAGTCAGAAACAACTTGAAGGCAATTATTGAAGGCACACAAACAACAACAATAGCAGTAACACCACTAACTGCAGTCACTCCTCCACTCTTGTCTGCCCATTCCAAAGGCAGCTGTGGCCCTAGGAGGAGGAAGAGGAGGAAGGAGGAACTCCCTCCTGCTGCTGCTGGTGTCTCACTATGGGGAGCCGGGTGCCCTCCCTCCTTTCTAGCCGCCCAGAGCTGGATGCCTGGCTCCAGAGCCCCCCCCCCCCCGTGGCTGGAGGCCCTTACTCTCATGTGGACCCTCACCTTCCTCCTCCTCCGCCAGCTTCCTCCCTCCATCCCAGTCATGAGGTATTGGGGCTGCTGCTGGATGGCCGGCCTTGTGGCAGTGGCAAGGCGTGCCCCTCCTGGACTCCTCATCCTCCTTGTCCTCCTCTTTGACAAGGGCCTCCGATCACAGAGTAAGCCCAGGAGGACAGACCTCGCCCTGGCTTCGACATCCCCAGCTATGGAATCCTCCTCTTCTTCCCCCTTGCCACCTCTTTCTCTTACTCACTCCTTGTTCCTCCTCTCCTTGCCTGGCCTTCCTCTCTTCTTTCTCCTCCTACCTCACACCATGCCACCCCTTCCTTCTCCTGCTCCTCCTCCTGGCTTTTTCCCATGGGCTGCCAGAAATGCTTTGGTGGGCAGCAAGTTGTGCAGACCTGCTGTAGACAGATAAATACGGTCTTTTGGAAAAGGAGGCTAGGTGGGTTCTATTGCTGAAAGAAATTATTCCTGTCAGCCTTAATGAGTCTCTTGATGTTGCAACACCACTTTGAGATAAAGCTATTTCTTATCAGGGTTTGAAATTAAAAAAAAATCTCTTTTACTCATTATAATATTTCTGAAAAGTTAAGCTTCTAATTTTAATTCAAATGTATCATGAAGGCTGGGGTTTTGTGTTTTATATATACACATGTTAATAATTGGATAAAATATTATTGATGGGGTAACTATTGGATTTTTTAGAAATGGTATATGGGTGTTTGTATTATCTTACAGGTTTTAGAAGCATGTGTAAGTTTTATAAGAAGTTATTTGTCCATTTAGGTTTTCTTGATTAAGGACCAGTTAAGAGCCAGCATGGTGTAGTGCAGGGGTAGGCAACCTTTCCCCTTTAAGGGGCGAGGGACTTCAGCTCCCAGAAGCCTCAGCCATGTTGGCCAATAGTCCCATGTTGGCCAATAGCTCCTGGGATTCTGGGAGCTGAAGTCCCTCGGCCCTTAAAGGGGAAAGGTTGCCTACCCCTGGTGTAGTGGTTTGAACATTGGACTAGGACTCTGCAGACCAGGGTTCAAATCCTAGCTTAGCCATGGAAACCCACTGGGTGACCTTGGGTCACACTCTCTCAGTTTCAGCTGATGGCAAACTCCCTCCGAATAAACTTGCCACGAAACCCCCAGGACAGCTTTGCCTTAGGGTTGCCATAAGTCAGAAACAACTTGAAAGTACACAAAAACAACAATTAAGAGGCTAAAACATGCTGTAATAATCAATATTTTCATTTTTTCTGTTGTGTGTTTACTATTAATGGTTAAATTCCATTTTGTATGATTTAGTGAAAAACTAGTTTAGGATTCAAACAGTGGAATCACTAGAGGTATACAAAGGGTGCAGGCTGCACTGGGTGATGCCCCAGAAGAGGGGTGATACCAGGTTGCCCCCCCCTCCCACCTTGATGCCATCACATTGTTCTCCTCATGAGAATAGTATGAACAGCAATACCAAGGGAGTCGAGTATCCTCCAGTTCAGTGCTGTCACCTCTGCACAACAGCGAGGGAGTATGCCCAGTCCCATTCTCTGCCACACATTGCTCTACATGTAAGTAGAACAGTGCACAGCAGGGAGGGAGCGTGCCCACCCATCCCTCTGCTATGTGCTGCACATACAGTGGTGAACAGCGGGGAGTGTGGTGGTGCCCATTTGGCCCTGCCCCTGGAATCCTTGCCCCCTGCACTGGGTGACACTTCGGCCAGTGATGCCACTGGATTCAAATGTGCTGAGTTTGGTACCTTTACCTTTAACAATGTAACCAACATCCTGATTTTACACACTGTTTACTTGTATTTTAGGCCCCAGTGTCACTGTACTCAGAGAGGCTGTTTTAAAGGAATCATGTATTTTACTGTAACTGACTATTTTACATTTTATGCAATACTATTGAAGCAATTTTATATGTGCTTTTAATGGTCCAAAATGGATTGGATCTAGGCTTGGGTTGCAGTCACACTATAGAAATAATCCAGTTGGACACTACTTTAATTGCCATGGCTCAATGTTCTGCAATTCACACTATAGAAATAATCCAGTTGGACACCACTTTAATTGTCATGGCTCAATGTTATGCAATTCTGGGAACTGTAGGTTTTTTTTTATATTTCTTTGTCAGAGAGCTCTGGTGCCACAACAAACTACAATTCCCAGAATTCCACAGCATTTAGCAATGGTAGTTAAAGTAGTATCAAAGTGAATTATTTCTGCAGTGCGGATGCAAATAAACATTGACTGGCTTAAGCCCTTTTGACTTTAGTGTGTATATCCTAAGCATAACTAAGGCCTCATGCACACTCATGCAAAAAAAACGATTTTTGCATTGGATTGTTTCAAATCAGTGGAGCGATTCGACACTGAATAGATGTTGCACCGGCACAAAGGACACCGAACGCAATTATTTTGGGTAAATC